TGCTGAAACGTCCAAATAACCGGTAAAACGTCTTCAGCATAAGGTAACATTGTTTCTTCCAGTATATTTTGTATTGGAACTGATCCATGTTACCTTCTATCAACTTTACAGGTCCATCACTATGTCCAGAAAAGCACCCCCAGATTTTCACATTTCCACCACCGAGCTTTAATGTAACTGTAGTGAGTGTACTTAGGGTTGAATGCTGTATTCGGGGGACGTCGTACATATCATTTTCCATCAGAACATATTCTGTTTATTTTCGTCTCGTCAGAAAAAAGTACATTTTTCCACTGTCGCATAGTTCAGTTTCCATACTTTCCCGCAAATGCAAGCCGGGCTTGCATGTGGCAAAGTTTCAACATGGGTACCTTTCTTGCTATCCTACCGTCCAATTTTTCTTCTACCAAACGTCTTCCAATAGTGCGTACTGAGATTGCTGAAGGGTTGTATTCACCGAAATATTCTTTTCTCAGCTCATTGGACCCTTTAAAAGGATTTTGTTTTGCAATACGAACGATGTTTCGGTCATCTCGAGGAGTTGTTTTTCTCTGTTTAGGTACACGTGCAACATTCGAAGTAGTTTGATACGTAGCAAAATACTTTACAGCGTGGAAAACCATCGTTTTTGTACATTGCAGGTGGTCGGCTATCTTTTTATAAGACCAATTCTTCCGGCGAAGTTTTATTATTACTTCCCTTGAAGATTCATCACAACTTTTATTTTTCCCATTGTTTTTTCCTAAGAATCAATCAGTTTCAATCTTTACAGCACTAAATGGCGCCAAAATTATACAAACAGTAACAAATCAACTGAGTGTTCTCTATTTAAATATGAATAAAGGTATAAATTATTTAGTGTTCTTAATTACGTGACCAGCCAGTAAATAGAAACACTATGTTTAGAAGTAGTGTAAAAAGTTTGTCTATTTATTTTTAGCTAATCATGTGTATCAATAAATACAGTGGTATTATGGAAAAGTTTTACGATACCGAAAGAAATTAAAAAAAATTGCATGCACTTAGTTTGAAAAAATCTTCCCCTTATATCAGCGTTCTTAATTATATGACCACCACAGTATAATCGTAAAAACAAGACGTTTTATATAGTCATTAAGGCACGTAAAATAAAGTGTGACTTTTCCATATGAAACCTTTTAACCAATTTAATGGTCGAATTTCAATCCGATGGAATACTACTACGTACAAACAAATAAAAACTCCAATAACCGGGCTGGAATGGTTGGACGTTTACAAAATTCCCAATGGCAACCCTAATCCAATAATTTAAACGTTACTTTATACTGTCGACTCGTTAAAAAGCCTCTAGGGTAAAAGCTAGCGGCTATAATATATTTTACACAAAAATGACACTGTTAACATAACTGGTGATATATTCGAAGTCGTTACCAATTTTGGGTGGAGAGTGTCTCTATTATACGTGCTGGAGCCACGCTGCTGTTATATTATTGTTGTAGCCCGAATGAGTCGGCTCGACCGAGGAAGGAACACGCTTTCACAGAATACCAGTATAAAATAGCAGCATAATATTATATGCTGTATTTCGTACGGAGAGTGTAGAAAACCACAAGCTCTTTTTACTGGAAAGGAGGCATTCCATCTTAATCCTCAGGGGTGGCAATGCATCCGCATTTTGATTCTTAGTTAGAGATAGTCGAAGAAGTTTATAGCTACGGTTTCCACTTAATATGAGGTGGACTATGTGCTCGTTTGTTACCCATATTCTATGAAAATATCTAAAAAAGGAACAAGAAAACCACACAATTACAAAGCTTACAGTACAATGTCTTAGTAAATTGTAAACGATATTAAATCTTTTTTTTTTTTTGGATGGATTTCAGGTGAAAAACAATTTACCTAAGTCCACTCAAAAGGGTAAAAAAATAAAATAAAAAGCCTTATAAGAACTAACTTAAAAAATTCTATGAACTAAAAATATTTTAACAATTTTCACTTAATAGCTTCTAAAGTAGGGTTTCAATATTTTGATACACTACGTCTAAGCGCCGAATACTAATGATTTTACGTGGAAATTATTTTATTATTTAAAGTAATTTGAAGTCGGCTTACACTTCTTGTTTATATTTTTATATAAAATATTTAATGGTTTACAGAATGTCTGAGAAAACACTCTAAACGTTGGGAATTAATAAAAAATTATTTTATTTTATAGGATAGGGTGACAAACGAGCACACATTCCACCTGATGGTAAGTGGTTGCTGTGGTTCATAGACATCTACATCTATCCTCGATTACGAATCAAAATTCAGATGCATTGTCACCCAAGAGGAATAGATGGAATGCCTCGTTTCCAGTAAAAAGGGTCTCCGGTTCTCTACACTCACCATACGAATCACAGCAGCATTAAGCTACTATTGGACGCTGGTATTCTGTGAGAGCGTGGTCCTTCCCCGGTCGAGCCGACCCACTCGTGCTACAATTATACTACTAATATAACTGCAGCAGGGCTCTACCACGTACCAATTATAGTATTAATTCCATAAAATGTATAGTGTATTAAAAAACCGTGATAGATATGGATAAACACTTACATTTAAATATCGTAGATCGCAAGGAACCGAGTGTGAACCCAACTCCGACGTAAATTAAGCTGTTAATAGAAAATTTAAGTGCCGATTTACCACTTTATTAACGCTCATGAAAAACTTAATTAGGGAACCAAAACGCCAATAAATTTAAAAAAAAATTGAATACTATATTATTAAAATCTTATGAAAGTCAAATCCACCACTGGTTTGAAAAATAAAAATTATACATAAAAGAACTGGCAAGCAGTTCAGGGGTTATTGTTGCTTTTAGAAAAAAAGTGTATTACCATTTTACGATCTTTACATGAAAATATGTTATGTTGGTATTACAGTGATAGTTATTACACTTTATTTTACTAAACTGCTGGTGCTGGAAGATTTTTTCAATACGACGAAACACGAGCATGTGGATCCCGAAAGTCAATTTCAAAGGCCTTACTAGTCAAGTTACGTCCACTTTTTATAAGCTTTTGCAACTGAATTTGGCCAACATTTGCGTACAGCGCAACGACCTCTGCCTTGTCATATAACTGTCTTAGAAACGAGAGACCTATGCCCAGAAGTGTAAAAGCGAGCTCTATTGTAAAATAAAAACTTTAAGGAAGAAAGAAGGAACACGACAGAAGGAAAAAAATAAGACTGAAAGGAAGAAAGAAAGAAATACAGGCAGAAAGAAAGAAATACAGGCAGAGAGAAAGAACATGCTTATTCATTGTAATTACTTTTACCAAAAAAAAACATTATCCGGATTGAAGTAACAAAAATACTAATGTTCCAGCAGTAGTAATTAAGATAATCCTTCGAAGCCACATAAGTTGAAAAGCGAGCAATCGCCGGACATAATTTATTACTTATCACACTCGCTAAGTAAATATGGGAAATTCATTACGTAAAATTATAAATTAAACTCATTCAACTCCCTTTTTGAAATCGGTTAAAATATATCAGATTTTATTTACTCAATCACCCGAAAACAAAACGCAGCCGTTGGGCTGACACTTTAATTTATAGGAAACACAACGGGAAAATAAAATGGTTTTCCCGATGAAAAACTCTTTTTATCGTCGGGCTTGGATTTCTGTGATTAATTCGTAGTTTCGAGTGTAAAATAACTTAAGTATTACTTTATTATTACTTTTAATACCGTATACGCCATTATTATAGTGCAGTAAATAAAATTGATTGCTTTAACTGCAAATTTACAGTTTTTAAATTATAATATAGCTTTACAACCTAATCTACAACGACGTGTGAGAAAATTACTAAAATATTCATACAAAATACAGCCAGGTGACTCAGGACCTTGTTTTGAGGCATTGCTTGGCGTAGGCCAATGTTACGTCACAGCACTTCACAAGTACAGATCTATAACTTGTGAAGTGCTGTGAAGATGATGATGCCATACATCCATACATGGATCCGAGGGAATATGTAACCCTTTTCATTTCTTACGTTTTTGAAATAAATTAGCTTAATTGCAATGGGTACAGATCGCATAAAAGTCCAGCCGGCAAACGGAGTGTTTATTTAAAAATACTTTCTTGATCAACAAGATCTCAATACGTCAGTTTTAACAAATAGCTTTCGGCAATAAATCAAACAATCTACCGGGTATCAGCATTGATCTGTCCCATAACGTTCTCAACACGTCCGGCCTAGCTGCACAAACAACAGTCACAACTACAGATGGGCAATACACCCACCTGGGTTTAAACCCAGGTGGGTAAAAACCTGGTGTTTAGGGTGTTTTGGGTTTAAACCCAGTAAACACCCAAATTTTTGGGTGTTTACGATTTTTAACTTAAATTCGAAAACCTATTCTACTTCTCGACCTCACCAAATGCTGGCTGGTACAGTGGGCCACAGTTCCAGCTACCCGTTTCCGTATTTTCTTTCGATAGACCAAGGCAACATGAAAGACCGGATATGGTTAGCTTGAGCTGTGACCCTCCGAGTGTGTAGAAGAGATCCGCATTAAACACAAACTTAATATTCAGTAATAAAAACACGTAAAAATTAAAGTCATGAATTCATGATTGAAAATTCATTTCAGTCATAACATTTACTTGGCATTTATTTATACTCACTATGTGACTCTAAGTCAGACTCACGAACAATATAGTAAAGTAATGTTATTATGTCGCCTACAAAATAAAAATTGTGTTTGAGTCTATTCTCATCCCGGGGGGGGGGGGGGGGGACAGAAATTGAAATGATGAATTTGAATTTCTATGACGGGTTTGGGTGTTCCTATGTATAAAACATGTATTTAAAAAGTATATAAGTAGTATATCCAGTAAGCTAGCACCCATTACATAAGCATATTAGTTGCTTACTTTGGAGCTAGGTAGCATTGTGTGAAATTGTCCAAAGATATTTGTTAATTATTTATTTATTAAAAAAAGAGATAAAATAAAATAAAAATGCAATCAATCACTATCCGATTCAACATTGTCACAGGCGACAAATTGGATAGGTTCCATCTCGTCTGAACTATTATAGTCATTTACTTCATCGATGAAAGCTTCTATGACATTTTCTTCTTCATTTTCTTCATGAAACTGAATGTTCTCATGTTCATGTTTATGTTTAAGATTCCAGTTATAACAAATGAATGAAATTTTTTCAGCTCTTTCAGTTGTAAGTCGATTTCTTTTGTTATTATGTATGTAGCCTTGGATACTAAAGGAACGCTCGGTGGCTGCAGAAGTACACGGAGCTGATAGAATACGAATCACTACTTTGCTAAGCTCGGTGGAACCACAAATACCTTTCCACCATATTATGAGCTCAATACTATCTAATGAGCTCCATAGAAATCGTCTGACCCAAAAGTTTTCTTTAGCTTTGTAACACGCCAAATCTGCCATTACATTAAACAAACTCAAGTATTGACTTAAATTGTAGATAAACTCCATACCCTGAAGTTCTTCATCTTGAGTAAGTTCTAATCCCTGAGCTGTAGGGTCTAGCATATGCTGCCAAATGTATTGGTCTAATTGCCATATTGCATCTTGAAGAGACTGATGTTAGAATTTGCTGTTTGCTTTCTTCGCTCCATGTTGAAATACGAGTATCAGATAAACGAATAAAATGATTGATTGATTGATTAAAGTGAAACGTATCTTAGCTTGTATATCTAAACGTAATGTATGTGCGATGTATACGATTCTGGTTGCTCTCTAAGTAAAATATGCTTTCAGTGACTGATTCCAAAATACTTATACATTCACCTGTCTTCGTCCAAAAATCATCACTTAGAATTAAATCTTTAATATCTCTTGCGATTTCCACGTCTTCTCGAACTGCCAATATTTGCAAAGCTGATCTATTTGCTTTTAAACTTTTTAATGAAGTAATATGACTTCCCCATCTAGTAACACAAGGCAATTTTAGTGTTCGTGTAGAATCTTGGCCCTGACTGAATTTTCTCAAAAGTGAAGTCAATCGTTGGCTCTTTTTAAAATATTTTATTATAGTTATGACTTGCATTATAAATAAAGTTATCTCTTGTACCTTTATGATATCTTGGCATAACAAGTTGAGGACATGTGCACAGCAACCGAGAGGAACAACATGTGGATATTTGAGTTTTATTAATTGAAATGCCTTTTGTATGTTTCTGGCGTTGTCGCCAATAAGTACAAGAAACTTATTTTCTCCATACGCTTGCATTACTTTTTCAATTTCTTGGCAAAGATATTCACTAGTGTGACGATTACTTTCTGTATATAAACTTTTTATATATGCAGGTCGAGGTTTTGATATAAGAAAGTTTATTATTCCTTCATTTCTTATATTAGACCAGCCATCGCACTGAAGGTGTAAGTGCAAGCGTTTAGTTCCTCATTTAACTCTAGACGCATCTCTCTATATATTTTATCTAAATATTTTGTCGCTACAGTTTTACGTGAAGGTATTTTAAAATTTAGTTACAATTTTTCGAAAAATTGTATCCATAAAGGATGTTGCACCATCGATAATGGCATCCCTGTTACAAATATAGCTCTCGCTAATTTTATTTTTATGTCATCATGATCATTGCTGTCTTGAAACTCAGTATTCATGGTACTGTTAGCAGACGATGAGGCACTTGGAAGAGAATTATTTATCTCTGGCAGTTCGGGTTTTTCTGTTTTGGACGAGCTATCTTTTATAGTGTTCATAGAATCCTTTAATGATTTTGGAGTTTTTAGACAAGTGATAAGATGTTGAAGCATTTTGGCAGCATTAATAAATTTATAGACCTTATTACAAACCTTGCAGGAAACAGACTTGTGTGGTAAAGTACGGTAGTGCTCCCATATGCGTAAATCTTTAGGTCGCGCCATTGTACCTAAAAAAATTGTACATTATTTGGTTTTGAACTAAATCAAGCAGGCTACGAAAAATAATGTTATTTAAATTATTTTAATTAAAAGATTAATTTATTTAAGAACCTTGGCCCAGGGAGTTCATAAAAAAATTGAACTAGAGTATGTACCTACTTAAACTGTATTTTTTTCTTTACAATAAAAAAATCAACTTTGATTTAAATCATTGCTGTTTACAATATAAATCTTAATTTAATTCAATTTGGTTGATATCAATTTCAAACAGCAAACCTTGGCCTCAAGAGTTAAAATATCGTAGAAAAAAAACTAAAATCATATTTAATGATTTCTTATATTTACGCGAACATTGCACATGATTAAAACTACTTTTACGGATTTTATCGCGTTTATTTTTTCTTACTTTTTTATTTTTATTTTTATTTTTAATTCCCGACGTTTCGGGCGCTTTCCAGCACCCATGGTCACGGGGGACTGAGATGACTGACGTCCCGATGTCATTGTTAAACCCGGAGTACCTTCAGCTTTTTTTTTTAATTATTGTTTATGGTCCGATCTATGCAAAATGAACTGACTATGTCCTGAGGTCTTGCAGTGGTATGCTTGGGTTTAGTTTTAATTTTATTGATTATAGGATCCCAAGCAGGTGGTAGTACCCAGCCTCCTTCTCTATTGAAATTAGGATGTTTTTTTAATTTCAATAGCCTCACGTATCATCCTTGGTAGGAATCGGTGTTCTTTCGCGAGGATTTGTGGTCTATCAAATCTGATGTAATGGTTGGGGCCGTCTAGGATATGATCACAAACTGCAGACTTCAATAAATCCGTAAAAGTAGTTTTAATCATGTAAAATCATATTTACTGTATCAACTATCGATATAAATAAAATCGTTTTGATTCCTAAAAATATAAATTTCTAACATTTGAAAACCCACTTACCTTATAAAAACAAACAGTTTAATTAATAAATTTTATTATTATGTATTTTTTTTAAATTTGTTAACTTTATAAAAACTTTCATCACTCCTACTCCTAATACGTTAATTCAGGAATCAAAGTACAGGTACACACGTCTACAATTTTCATTTAATGAACGCGTCTGATAGTTTTTATTGCGCCTCATCTTCATTCAGCGTTGATGAATAGGGGAATTCCGCATTATAATGTATTGCAAGCGTAGAGATGTCGCTTCAAATCCATAGACAAAAAAAGGTAATAACACTTCTCGATACTAGATGGCGCTAGTCATATCTTAAGAAAGTTTGCGGAGTGAAATAATTATAGTGTGTACACACGTTCCGATCCGACGGCCAATTAATTTACCTTAATAAATATTATTCGTGTTTGACGCGGTCTGGCCGGATTTGGTTCATACGAACTTCACTTCCAACTAAATCGGAACATTTGTAGGCTGCTGCCCTGATCAACTACGCAGTTTTGACAATTTCGGAGATTTTCTCTAGATTTAGGGAGAAAAAATGTAAAAGCTGAAATATTTGAGGCATGATTTTCGCGTAAGACTTACCGAACGAATGGTTTAAATCTGCCCATTAGTGTAAAGATTCTTTTATCTTTTAGCTTTTTTTTTCGTTTATTTTATCTAATAACTCGATTTTGTCGTAAAACTAAATTTATATAAAGAAGGCATATGAATATTTAGCTTGTATTAGTATTTTAATGAAAATCGTCTGCGCATGACTTTAATGCTACAGGATTTTTTTTAATGCTACTAAACGATAGATGGCGCAATTTTAATAAGATTGATTTGATCTTTAATGACAGGCTCAGAAAAGCAAGATTCCAGATCCGTAAATCTATAGATTATAGATACAGGGAATTTCCCTTATACATATAATACCTGACATAACGTGCGTGCGTTATTCTTTCGCTGTCTGTTCTAGAAAGTCAGCCGCGGTTACTGAAGGGTATTGTTTATGTGCAAAAATATTTAATAAAATAACTTTATTACATTAATTTGGGCATTATTAGTTGCTAATCACTGGAAACAAAATGGAGGCTAAGTTTAGAGATGAAGACGTTTCTATAAAACAATTAATAAAAGAAAATCTACGTAAACGTAAGTACCTACACTGTACCTATTACTTACCTAGCTCATAAGCTACTTAGAACGCTTGTGTTCGCATAGCGGTTCTATTTTTTTTTTTTGTAATTGTAGAAAAAAGAAATCCGCTAAGCCGTAGCCGTAGCCGATCTCCAAATATAGTGAGACTATATAGTGAGACCCAGTATCCAAAGATTTGCCCGGGATAGCCACAATGAAAAAAAAACCAGAACAGAGAAAAAAACTTACAAAAACAAAGAAGAAAAAAACTGTTCCGAATGCGCAAAATTGTATGAAGAAAATGATAAAAGAAACGAGCATTTTGGAATGTTAGTGGCTGAAGAATTTAAATATATACGGCCATGTGTGCGCACGAGGTGTTATGAGGAAATTTTAAAATATCTACGGCAAGCAAAAGGCCAACATGTTGGTCAACTACAACATGAAAGTACCGAAAACTAATATTGGGTGACGTTTCTTTAAATTTCTATAGTTGTATTGATCATTATAATCAATAAAAATAAATTTTAAAACTTGTTTTTAATATTACTTAAGTATTTACACAAATTAAATAAACACCCAATTTTTTGGGTGTTTATGGGTGTTTACGGGTGTTTATTGGGTTTTTACCAAAGCACCGGGTTTTAACCCGGTGCTTTGCCCATCTGTAGTCACAACAGATAATGTTTGCGTCACAAACCATTTGCATTGTTGGTGCGGTACAACTTATGTAACTAACGCCCCAATACAAACGCTACTCAATTTTTAAATGTCGTTAAGTCGCCATAAAACGACGAGGAAGATAGATAAATATTTCTTCTTTAATTATGAGATTTTCCTACACAGAAGAAATAATAAACCATCGTCTCACAAGTTGATTTAATGAGATTTTATTATAAGCTAATGCTGTAGAGCCGTGGTAGCTCAGTGGTTAACGCTCGCTGTAAATATAACAGAACGCGAGTAACCCGGGTTCGATCCCCGCCGGCACCAATGAAATTGTTAATTGCAATTTTAAGTGCTGATTTACCACGTGCTCGGCGGTGAAGGAAAACATCGTGAGGAAACCTGCATGTCTGAGGAACAAGAAAAAAAAATATTTCGAAAACATGTGAAGTTCGTCAACACGCATTTGGGCAGCGCGGCGGACACTTCCTTGCCCTAAACCCTCTCAGAAATGAGGGGAGGCCTGAGCCCATCAGTGGGACGTATATAGGCTGTAACTTTTTACTTTTACTGTAGTGTAGACCCCACGACAATATATATTAGTGTTAAGGTAGAATAATTTTTTTTATATAGGATAAGGGTAACAAACGAGCACACAGGCTACCTGATGGTAAATGGATGCTGTGGCCCATTGACATCCACATTTATCTTCAATTAAGAAACAAAATGCAGTCGCGTTGCCAGCCTGAGGACTGAGAAGGAATGCTTCGTTTCCAGTAAAAAGGGTCTCCGGTTCTCTACACTCACCATACGAAACGCAGCAGCATTAAGCTGCTATTTTACGCTGGTATTCTGTGAGAGTGTGGCCCTGGTTGAGCCGACCCATTCGTGCTGCAACCACAATATAGCTGCAGCA